CTATTAGGTTGGCAAATAAGTCCTGCGACAAATGGAGACCTTTTTTAAGTCATTTCTAAATTTTTTCATATCAATCAATTTTCGAGGAAATTTTTGCCGAAGAAGTCAACAACCTTCTTTTATCCTTCGAGTCAATCAGTGATGGCATCTCTTCAGGAATGAGGGAGCTGTGACTCGAAGAAGTAATTGACTGCCGTTTTGGATCACATTAAGTTACGAATTTCTTTTCCACAACGGGATGCTCAAAAAGGCGGAGCACATTGTAGTTAAAAGGGGGAACACTCTGCGAGCACGACTGATGAGTAACCTTTAACCAAGCGGGATCGGTGAACTTTTGACGTGGGTCTGAAGCGAATTTTAGACGTACGATGTCTCTCTGCAAAGACCTGATTTACGGCTTGGTCGTCCTTCTCTATCCCCGTTGGTCAAATAAAGGGGATCATAGGGGCAAGCGATAGCAGTGACCATATAGTCCGCTTTTAAACAACTCATAGTGGATGGATTCCTTCAACCTCCATTAAAATAAGGGATGATGCGTGCGTTACTCCGAAGGCTAGTATCTCCTGCAGTGAAGCGAGCAAACTGATTGTTGACCGTCGATCGGTTAGCAGTGCTAGCATTGAATAGATTGCTGATATTTCGAGCCGCTACACTCACGTTTTTTCCTTGGCGTACTTAGGAGAAGGTGATTTTACAAATCGGGTGTTGTCCATTTATTGACCGTAATGCTGTGAAAGCCCACAGGCGTGCCCTTATTTACTCATGTGTTGATTGCCTGAGGAATGTCCTACAAGTCCATCACCCTTGCTACCGTGTTCACACTGTTGATACAAATTTTCAACGCTTCAAATTTTTTGTCGCAGGACTTATTTGCCAACCTAATAGTTCTTGTGGGATGTTCGTTTGAGGACCAAGTCAATATTCTCGGTTCCTTTGACTCTTCCGATGACCCAGTTGCATTAACGAAATGGATGAACAAGAGAAAGTAGGAATGCATTCCTTGTAACCTCGAATACACGAACTGTTCATAAGAGAAGAAACAACGGCCGCTGGTAGGGCAGGATAGTTTGTCATCACCTTCTCTTTGGAATATAGGCTTAAAAAAGTCTGCGGAACTCAATGTTCTGCAGTGTCTTTGATTTCTGCTAGGGAGCATCCCACCTTAACCAGAGAGCTTCTAAGGTGTTCTTATGGCAGATATTCAGTTTTAAGGACAGAGTATCAACCAGATTAGCTATGAAACGCTCACCTGCACACTGGATTCGGTACGCAATGGATCACCGATGCCAGGAATGGATATCACCAGGTGCAACACAGTTCGAAAGTTTGGGTGAGGGAGTGAGGGTTTAGTTTGTTTCATTTCTCTGTGTCTTTTAATTTTTGTGATTTTTCACAGCTGAACCCCCATTGACTACCTCATCACTAACATATCCAATTAATCTTGGCGTATAATTTGTGAGGGTATAAGCTTAAGCGCAAGAACCAATAAGACCGGCCTTGATAGCAAGATGTACCTAAAGGATATTACGTGTGGATGTGAGCAGCAGGTGAATACGAGTACGAGACCACATGTGAGCCTGAATACGAGTACGAGACATAATAGTTAGTACAGATCGAGACAACAAAAGAAATCATTACAAAAACGAAGACCGAGAAGAACACCACGCACACGCTGAAAGGAATTAAACTAAACGTAAGGTTACGGTAGCTGTGGTGGGTACGTACTTACACACTTTTCAATGAGTTGCGGGGCAGTTATCAACAGCGTCTGGGGTAGTGCAATATTTGTAATTTTCTCTGCGACTTCCTCGACAGGAAATCTCATCCCGAAGAAAATGGAGCGCGGAAAGAACTCGCCAGCTCTCAATGCCTACGACTATTGTTAATACAATTTAACAAATAGCAAGCATTAAACTCGTCAGGTTAAAATTGATCTGTTGCGCAAGCGATCTCGTCGATTCCAGTCCCCTTACATGAAAAAAAAAGAATGGTGAGAGGCACAATAGCTTGGGTTTCCTGCAATGTAACATAGATACTTTTTCGATGTAAGGATTTTATGCAGTTGATGCAAATGTGGTTGGTAGCGGGGACTGGTCCCCTTCTCTAACATTAGGCGCTATAACGAGCAGAGGGGATTCCGCTCTGCTGGCCTGTAACGATCCGTCAAAACGTTTTTATTTTTTTGATTAAGCGTGAGTATTGGTCGCATGCAAAAAGCTGAAAAGTGGAAAGGGTTGGACATCCACTCGTCATTCATTTCTTTTCGAAAGCGTAATTGGTGATTTGCCATTACGGACCCGTAGAACTGGCTACCCATCCATCCTTCCCTACGTTCTAACAGTGATAAAGAGAATGGGGTGCCTTTCCCTTTGCCTCCACCTCCTCAAAATAAAAAAAATCCCTCAATTGTTGTATTTTTATGCAGCCAGGATCAGCCCTTTCCTTTTCTCGGGATTTATTAACTGACAGATCAACCACTAACGATGGATTTGTCGTAACCCTACTCGAATAACAATGCATCCATCATTTTCCATATCTCCTCTCTCCCTTTATCTGTTCAAAGTATGAAGTCTTCAGAAAAAAAGATGTTTCCTTTTTTGAGCCATGTTTCGACTTGAGACAGCGCTCTAAACGACAGCAGGGATAAATGAAGGACACGCACAGACTGCTCCTTCGTCTGATTCTCTCAGCGAGAGAAATTTCGGTTGACAACTGCCCTGTAACCTCTTCATTGCCATTCGTACCTTCCGGTTTTTGACGAAAACCTAAACAAAATTCGCTTAACTTTTTTATCAAGTAACCCTTCCCTTACTACAGATGCATTTTATGTTACACTAGTGAAGGTCGAATCTTTATTTTCCTCATCCATCTCCATTAAGTCATGTAATGTACGTAGGGACCTCGCTCATCGGAAGTAGTTTTCGTTCCAACATCATGACATGCGCTCCTACATGCAAAAATTCTCTAAGAGGTTCGGCTCTGTTCACAGTACGGAATAAGAGAGTGGAAAATAGTGCGCTTAGTGATAGTAACATGACGTTCTCATGAGTGCGAAGTTGAATTGTATAGAAATAGTTTTTTTAAATGAATTCGCAATTGTCTGGCTTTCCGATTCTCTAATTGATGCTTAGTAAATCATTTTTGACTTGTATAAGTTGGTTTGTTGAACGATGTCTCGATAATGCATTCTTCAAATCCTTTTACTACCAACTCGACGAATTTCCCTTGTTCCTAACGAGTCAGTATTTGAGGGCATGGGCACGTCATCGCGACATTCTAAGAAACGTCGTGGAGATAATGAGGATTCTGATGATGAGCGACGAAAGAGGGAGCGAAATCGTTCCAGCTCCAGGTCAAGATCCTCATCACCGAAGCCTAAAAAGTATGGTTCTATCAGAGCCCAAAAAACCCCTTAACAGTAAGAAGACCGTGTTCTGGGTGGCGAGACGCTGTTTGGATGTTACATTACCTCTTCGCCCCAGAACACTTAGAGAAGTACTTTTCTAGAAGTCTTTTCTGACTTCACTCTTTTTTTTGCAGTTTTATGGATCCTGAAATATGAATGATGTCTTTACAGATCCCGCAGACGTGAAAAGGAAAAACAGTCTAGTCCAACACCTAAAGATGATGTGTGCGTAGTCTTTTTATTTTTATTGTTGTTCAAAAAAAATGCTCCCCTGTTTCAGTGCAGAGTCGCTTTCCATCGAGGAAACGAACAAGCTCCGAGCAAAACTAGGATTGGCTCCGCTGGAAATGAATGATGGTCCAAAGGTGCTCTCTGTTGTTGTCTTGCAATTTTTTTTTTCAAAGTATATACTAATCGTTTTGTAGTCAACGAAATAGGCTGCTGAGGTTAGAAAAATTTCGGGTACCTCTTAAGCTGAATAATCATCCTTGTATCTAGTTCTGTCGGTATTTCAAATAAGCAAGGATGTTAGGAATTGTTGAATTTAGATAGTTTTCATAAGGCAACCGTATTAATAACAGTTGTTTTGGGTAAAATTCAACCCTAGGCTAGAACACTCGAAGCTACCGTGTCTTGTGATTTGCGAATTAGTATAAGGTTTCGGCCTTGTAGACAATATGAAATTAATTTATATCTTCCTGATCACCCTCACCGTTTCTTGATTTGAGACATTTTGAGACAGTTTTCTGATTTGTCTACAGAAAGACACAGTCGCGGTGAAATTGCTCGGCAATTTTCCTATTTGAAAGAAACATGGCCTGGGGAGGCGGTTTGTAGCCCTGTCGTTGCTATAGTTGACCTAAAAGGGTGCGAAGGGAGCTTTCATTTTGGTGAAACTTCTCGCTTTGAGCGTGCCAGGAGGTTTTACACAGATTTGCTGCTCGTTTTTGTTTTCTAAAGGTAGGCTGATCGATTGGGGCCTGTAAGGATTTTCTGGGATACATGGTTGTGATATATATTCGAGCTAGTGAAACCCTCTCCAGGTTATGTCACAGAGACGTGTCTCCTTTGTGTGATTTGCTAACTTATTCATTACCTTTGCCAATATTATTCCTCTCTGCGCTGTCGTGAAGCCAGGTTAGGATATAATATAAAATTAACAAAACATCAAGCCGAAATAGGTTAGGATATTTTGTTAACGGCTCCGCCCAGTTCGGTGCATGTCCCGTTACCCATGGGAGAAAATTCGGTGAGCTCAAACGCGCTTTCCAAGTGCTTGTTCATGTAATATTGGATTTCGTGCCAGACGCGAGCGGTATACAGTAAGAACTATACAATTCTAATACAACTTCATACGTGTGACCATGTGAAACTCAAGCCTAGCTTTTTCAAAAACCAATTAGTACCACTTTTTTACGGCAATCTTTAACACAACAGTCTTAATTCATTGAAAATCGGGTCTAGAGCTCTCACAATCTACAACATTGTCTGCTGATAGGATGAAGGAAAAAATTTAGCTGTTGATAGAATAAGGTGATAAATTTAGTAATGAAGGAATCACATTGCGCGCACAATCACACTTTTTCTTATCAGCCTCCCGTTGTTTCTCTAAAGTTGTTGATTGAACAATGGTTCTTGAAGACCATTCTTACCACTTTTTGATTTTTCCAGTTGCTTTTATAAGTTACAGGCGCGAGAATCTGAAGATGGCACAACAGTTCATGTCGAAGATGGTTTCGAGTTCCGGCATAAGAAGCCAGAAAATTGGAGCGATAAGAAAAAGGAACAAGAAATGAAAGAAAAGATTGAAGTCAGTTTATAGCTTTTGCTATTTTGAGTCATGTTAGCTGCGAAGTCTACCCGATTCAGAAAAGTTTAGATTGCGAAAAAGAAGCGCCAGGTTTATGAGCGAGTGTTGATTGCTAAAAGTGTTGCGGAATCCGATTCCGATGATGATGCTGCGGATTGGGTGGAAAAAATGAGGAAGCAAGAAGAAGAAAAAAAGCGGGCTGACGAAAGAGTGATTTTGAATTGCTATCTTCTATGGAATATCTAAGTTATCTGAACTCCATTTTTGTTTGTGTTGCAGGCCAAAATGCTTGATGCCATGGATGAGGAATTTGGAGTTAACAGCATCATTGCTGAGGAAAAGGCAAAACAGGCCAAGAAGAAGGCTAGACAGGAAGCCAAGGTTCTGAACCCTAACTTTAATATTATCGCTTTAAAAGTCTTCAGTTTTGAGCAGTTGTTGGAATATCTCACAAAGCAACCATTTCAAGGAAAAAATAAAGAATCTATACACTGGCGGTCTCGTGGTAGGGCATTCGAAGGAAGCGTTCACCGGCGTTACGGACCAGATTCTTGTTCTCGACGACAAAAGTTTGTAGTTAAGATTTCACTTTATTACGTATTTTATTTCAAATCGTTTCAAGTTTGGTCGGTACCAAACGCTTCATTCATAGGAGCAATTAAGGTGTTCTGGACGATGGTGAGGAGGTTCTCATCAATCCAAACCTGATCGATAATGAAAAATATGCTCGAAATAGAGAGCTTAAAAGGCGTAAGGAGTTACAAAAAGGGTTCGATGACGTGGACGAATTCGGAAATGTGAGTGTTCTTTTCTTGAAGCGATACGTCTCAGCCGCAATGTGCTTCAGTTTTCACGTGAATCTCTTTATTTAAAATGAATATCCATATTCCAAGTGCCTTGCCTGCCACTTGTTTTTTGTTCTATCTTCCACGCCTCAAGCTCTTATCAGAATTCTGAAAAATGATTGTAACTACAATTCCTTAGAGGCGATGTACTTTTACTTTTGTTTTTGGTTAGGTGTATATTTGATCATTCCAGAAAAAATCTTACGGAGTTCTCACGAAATATGACGAAGAGCTCGAAGGAGTCCAAAGGGAGCAATTCCGTCTAGATGAAGGTGGTGGTTACGACCTTGAAAAGGATGAGAGGTTGGCATTCCGGGTTCGACAGCTTTGCGAACGCAGTGCCTATAAACACTATTTTCAGAGAAGCGAGAATGCGCCGGGAATTAGAGCTGGCAGGTAAAACTCTGGTTAGTATGGAAATGCAAAAATATCAAATAGGGAGCGAGTTCTATACAAAAGTAAGTTTGAAACATTTTCCAATGTTCTGGTTACCCTTTCCTGACAATTTTCTAACTTCTTCATGCTTTATCCGAGATTGTCGTATCATGTAGCATATCACGTTTAGGAAGAAATGACCAGTTTCCGCAAAGTCAAAAAGGGGAAGAAAGAGAAATCTACTCGCAAAAGGAAAATTTTAAAAGCCGAAGACCTGATTCCGGATGAACCTGCGGGCGGATCTGATTTGGGTTCCAGGTTCGTAGTTCACTGGTAATAAGATGACTCTTTTCAGTATTTGAGAAATATAAAAATTCCAGGAAAAATAGAAGAATGCCCAAAGAAGAATATGGAAAACAAGAACCAGCTGAAGAGAATGCGGGAGTCGCGGAGGACGTGAGAAGCTTTTTTTNTTTTTTTAAAGGAATTTCTGGAAGTTCCCTTGCGCTGCCTTCATAGTTATATCATTTAGAAAAATGGTAATGAAGAACCTAACGCCGCTGAGCCATCTGGACCGTGGAAACGTGCGACAAAAAATGCGGTTGATATAAACATGCTGAAAGGACTAGTGGACAAAGATAGCAGCGACATCGAGGATAGTGACGGTACATAATTTTTGCATTTACTGAACAGAGGGGATAAATAATTCTAGCATTCAACATTATCAATATAATGCTTTGAGCAAGCTCTTTTATCCTACTATCGCTGTCGTTGAGTCGTTGAGAAACGTAACGTCCATGAGTACTTGGAGATAGTTGAAGCTATAATTCGCGATAAAATTTTTCTGAAATTCATAACCAGGACGAGTCCCTCACGATGCCCCGCTAGACGTTGGAAAATGGTCTGTTCAAAGCACTATAGGTTTTCACGGACAGTTGGCCTCAGAACGTTCAAGTACTTCTAGAGGCTGCGCCACCTGCATATGCGCAGACGCATGTTTGTATGTGTGTCGCTGTGTGTTGGTTTGTATGTAATGATATACAGTAGCGCTCAAAAGTCTTCGGTGAAATGGTTCTTCAGCCGCACTTTTCAGTCGTAACTCCTTTTCTACTGGATCTAATCAAGCGAAATTTCTATATTTGGAGCGTGGATGTATTGCGAATATTTACCACTATTAACCTGCAATCTGATCATGTTCCAGACATTCCAGAGAGCATGTTCTCAAAATCGACTGAAAATACAGATGATGGTCCTTCTAGAATCTCTTTCCTTTTTGTCATGTCTAAAGTGTACGAGCGGTAACGCCGAACACAATAGGTGAGAAAAACGCACATAAGGTGCGAGGAAGTGCAGACGCCAACGACTTTAGTTTGAGCAAAATCTGCTACCGCAACAAACACCTTGCTCTTTCTGTGGATATTGCAGCTTTGCAGTCAAATAGTGTTGAGTAGGGTGAAATATGCTCTAGTTAAACATATCCAAATTTTGCGCGATTTGGTCTACTAAGAAAAAAGTTATGAGCGAAAAAGCGTCAAAGCATTTCACCGAAGACTTTTGAGGACTATTGTATGTCTGTTGGTGTGTGTTGATGTGTCTGTGAAAGTGTCGCGCATGTGCGTGTCGTTGTGTTGTGTGTATGTGTGTTAGATGTTTGTGTCTCGCTGTTTGTGCCGTTGTGTGTGTGTCGTTGCGTGTATGAATGTGTGTGTCGGTATGTGTTCCTCCAATAAGCTTCTCCCATTCCAACAAATCACATGCGCAATAAATTTCTCTTTTGAAAGATGATAATCGTTGAACATTTGTGCTATTCTCCGGAAATTGATAGAGCTTTGAACAGATTGGCTCGATAGCGTGGTCGGTTACAGAGTGGCTCACTATAAAAAGAAGGAAAAACTAGCGAGCAGCGCGTGAGATGAAGGATATTAGGGTTGTGATATCCCAAAAAGGTCTTAATTATCAAGAATTTTCATGAACCGTTTTCGTGACCTCTGAAAGAACAGGTCATAGTTGCTAGATATGAAGGGGATGACCAAAAGGGAATTTACATACGATAAGTCGGGTGGGCTCTTGATGTGGAAGTGTTTTGCCACACAGTGTGTCACGCAAATTTTCAGCTCTCTCACAAAAAAATCCAGAGCCTGATAAAGTTGTGAATAGGAAATAAAACGAATATATAGATCAGCGGTCATGGTAAACGAAGAGTGCGACTAGCATACAGTGCGTTTCATAATTATAAGGTCACCCTCAAATTTTGCACCTTCAAGAAAAGCAATCATTAAGGATGTTTTCTAGCATCATGAACGGATTCCCCAGTACGAATAACCTAGGGTCTGAACTTTTTT